ATATATATATATATATATATATATATATATATATATCTCAGTCTGTCATGTGCCTTTTAACTTTGAATACAGTGTCTTATACCATGGAAAAGTTTAAATTTTTTACATGGTCCTATCACTCTGTCTCTCTTCATGACTTCTGGACTCTGTGTCCTGCTTACCAAAGCCTTCCTGAACTCAAAGGGATAGAAATATTCTACATTCTCTTCTAGAATCTTAATATTGTTTCATATTACATCTTTAATCATATTGAATGAACTTCTCTGTAAGGGGTTAAATGTGGATCTGACCTTATTTCCAGTTGGATAACTGTCAAGCACCATTTAAGTAATCCATCTCTCCCACCGACACATCAAAAATAATTACTTTTGCAATAAACTAAATTCATGGGTATACGATCTTTTTCAAAAATTTCCTTGTGATGCTTTCCTATTTACCATTCTACATGATTTTCAGAACAGAACTGTCAATGTAAAGATATCCTATAGGGATTGTGACTGGAATTGACTGTACAAACATGTTAACAATATTGAAACTTCCATCTGGAAACACAGATCTCCATTTATTCAGAACCTCTATTCTCCTTAACAGAGGTTAATAATTTCCTTCCTATATATAAAACCATGAGTAAATTCATCTATAATTTTTTTTTCTTCTGGGTTTGATATTAGGGTTGAATTAGCCTCATGAAAGAAGTATTCCAAATACTGCAAAATAATCCATTTCATTATTTTTTCTACACTCTAGAACAGCTTAATTATGATTCCTTGAAGGTTTAGAATTAATCTGTTAACCCAGGTGTCTTAGAAGAGGGCTACACTATTCAAGTTCTGTTTCTTCCATTTTAAATGTTAGGAATTTTTACTTTCTGCCTTGAATAAATATAGTCTTACATTCTTCCCAGTAAATTCTAGTTCTTTTGTTCCAGTCTTATCCAGAGTTCTAGACATTTCCTAAAACATATTCTATGTATCAGGTCACACTGAATTTCCTCATCAACAAAGGAACACAGCCTTATTTTGTGGTGATCTCAAGCTTTAAACATACTACTCATGCTAACCCTCATCATATACATTGTTTCAGTTCCAAAATTGTTATGATCTCCAAGTACATATACTGCCTTCCAGAGTTCACTGTTTAAAAATAACTTTCAAGCAGACTCTGAAGGATACTGAGCTAACATTATGGAGCACTTAGTCTGGGTCAGACACTGTGCTGAGTACTTTGTATGCATCAAGTAGTTCAAAATTTCATAGCAAGGGTTTTAAGGGAGTCATAAAATTACATTTACATTTTGAAAATACCACTGTGGCAGTAGTGTGAAAAATGAACTTGAAGGGGACAAAAGAGGATGCAAGGAGACCAGTTATTAGACAATTGGAATAGTCCAGGTGAAATGACAGTGTTTTGGACTAGGACAACGAGAATAGAAAGATGTGGATGAATTCCAAAAATATTCAGCAGACATATCAACAGGACTTGGTGACACAGAAGGTGAGGAAGAGCTGGGGGCCCGAGATGACTCTACAGCATGAATTTTCTGATGATGAGCAAGGTGCGCACTTTGTCTGAAGACCTTTCTGCATTCCTTACATTCATAAGATCTCTCTCCAGTGTGGATTCTTCTATGTAGATTAAGGTGTCCAATCTGGCTGAAGGTTTTCCTACATTCCTTACACTGATATGGTTTTTCTCCAGAGTGAATTCTCTGATGAACGGTAAGGGATTGCCGATGGCTAAAGGCTTTACCGCACATGCTACATTCATAAGGTTTCTCCCCCGTATGACATCTTTGATGACAAATGAGCAACGATTTTGTTCTGTATGCCTTCTCACACTTAACACATTCGTAGGGCCTTTGGCCAGTGTGAAGTCTCCGATGCTGAGAGCGGGATGAGCTATCACTAAAGGCCTTCCCACATTCAGTACATTTATAGGGTTTCTCTCCTGTGTGAACTCTCTGATGTTGAATAAGGCGGGTAGTCTGGCTGAAGGCTTTTCCACATTCAGTACATTCATAAGGTTTCTCTCTGGTATGAATTTTATGATGCTGTGCAAGGTGTGCTCTCTGTTTGAAAGCTTTGCCACATTCCTTACATTCATAAGGTTTCTCTCCAGTATGAATTCTCTGATGAGTAGCCAGCTGTGAACTGATGCTAAAAGCTTTCCCACATTCTTTACATTTATAGGGTTTTTCGCCAGTATGAATCCTCAGGTGACTAGCAAGGTGTATGCTCTGCCTAAAGGCTTTCCCACATTCCCTGCATTCGTAAGGCTTCTCTCCAGAATGCACTCTTTGGTGCTGAGTGAGTGAGGCATGATGGCTAAAGGCTTTCCCACAGATATCACATTCGTATGGTTTCTCTCCTGTGTGAATTCTCTGATGGACAGTCAGGGATGAGCCATAGCTAAAGGTTTTTCCACACATATTACATGTGTAGGGTTTCTCTCCAGTATGAATTCTCCTATGCTGAATAAGTCCTATGTGATCACTGAAGGCTTTCCCACAGTCGATGCAGTCAAAGGGTTTCTCCCCAGTGTGATAATACCTCCAGTGACGGATAAGGGATGTGTTCTGCCTAAAGGCTTTTCCACATTCAATACATACATAGGGTCTTTTGCCAGTGTGACATCTCTGATGTCGTGCAAAGGATGAGCCATCACTGAAGGCCTTTCCACATTCCTTACATTTATAGGGCTTCTCTCCAGTATGAATTCTCTGATGCTGGGCAAGGTGTGCAGGCTGGCTGAAGGCTTTTCTACACTCCTTACATTTATATGGTTTTTCTCCAGTATGAATTCTTTGATGTTGAATAAGGTGAACATTTTGGCTGAAGGCTTTCCTACATTCCTTACATTCAAACAGTTTCTCTCCAGTATGTATTCTGTGGTGCTGGGCAAGGTGTTGACTCTGGTTGAAGGCTTTCCCACATTCCTTACACTCATACGGTTTCTCTCCAGTATGAATTCTCTGATGAACAGTAAGGGATGAGCTCTGGGTGAAGGTCTTCTCACATTCATTACATTTAAAAAGTTTCTTTCCTACATAGACTTTCTTGTGTTTTATTACCATGGAATTTTTAGAAAAGCTTTTTTTATCTGACTTGTGATTATAAATATTCTCTTCTATATTGTCCAGTGAGACAAATTTCCCAGATTTGTTATATTTGTGGTCTATTTCCACTGTAAGGGTTTCTTTATGAGTGATTGTTTCTTGCCTGATAAATGTCTCTTGGCTTAACCACTGCCTCTCAAAAAGATCTTCACATTTCCAATCTTCTCCAAAAGTGGGACACTCAAGTCCATAGCTTATAATTCTCTCCATTAATACATCATCACACACAAATTGCTTCAGAGGTAATTCTTGTGTCTCATATACAGATTCCCAATCTGAAAGATTCAAAAAAGCAAATGTTTCCTTTATCATGGGCTATAACAAAGGAAACATTTAACACGGAAAAGGTGAATTGAAAATAATGAATCCCACAAAATGTATGATACACAGGCGTGTCAACTGAACAAATATGCAAGCAGACCCTAGAGAATGAGACCTCATAGAGGAACATGGAAAAGGTGATTTAGAATATTAAATGTAGGATAACAAAGTCCTGAAGTAGTAATGCAATGGTAATAATATGTTATGCCTATATTAACATAACAGACTATAAATGAAACTTCCTCTATTCTTTCCCACTTCTGGGAGACTTGCATATATAGCTAGGCTAACTTTGTTTAAAAACCAATATCATCACATAACTACTGCCACTCAAAAATCTCTGTAGATTCCCAGAAATCACAAATACTTTGTGCTTTGTGACTTCTCTTGGGATTTAGGTAAAATCTTAGAGTCATCTCTTCATAATCAGAAAATAATGTCCCTATGAACCATTTCCATGTGTCTTAATACAGTAAACTCTCTTCACTTCTCATAGATCCCTGAACTTCAGGCTGCATATTAAGGGATTTTTCCATTCACCTTCTCACTTTCACCAGGAAAAGTGGAAAGTAGGAAAAGTGTCACATCTTAATAGGGTTTTGCCATGTGTCTTTTTGTAGAAACAAGTCTTACAGTGATATGTGGGTTGATATCACTATTATTAATCACGTTCTTATTTCCTGCCACATAAGTACCTGTCTTGCCTTGTGAGCTAGAATATAAGCTTTGGGGAAGGACTAGATGAGCCTTACACACTACTACTAAGTCACTTAACATGCATCACAGAAACTCAGGCATATATAAGAAATTCTCGATAAATCTATAAGAAGAAATTTGTATTGAAGAGGTGACACTAAGAGAAAAATTTAGGGGAGAGGTGATATCAAGAAAGGGCAAAGGAGAAAGTGCTTTCCTTTCCCATCTTGTCCATAGCAAATTATGGACTAATCCAATGCTCCCTAAATGGTTTCCTATTACATGTCAAGCATTAGGAACACTAGAGTAATTAGACAGTTGTTCTTGAGAAGTACAGAAAGTGATTAGGAAGACAAGGCCAACAAAGGAAGTAATCTGAGAAGAAGAAAATATGGAATATCAAATGCGAACCCATGTGGTAAAAAAGTAAAATTGGTATAAAAGTTCAGAGATGGGAGGGATCAAATCTACCAGAGAAGTTAAGAAAGACTCTGAGGTGTTAACAAGCTTCCTACCCCAGGTCATCTGTGGTATCAGAAACACCCAAGCTTCAAGAATTCTAGAACTGAGGCCATAAGAGTTCAGTGAACCAATCACCTACAGTTTTTCTTACATAGATGGGCTGAGGGGAGAAATACTAGAAAGAGAAAAACAGAAACCTGATGGCATCATCTACTCCTCCCTCAAATTCTTTCTTTTTTTTTTTTTTTTTTCAAATTCTTTCTTGTCTGTGAAGGCTGCCTTCATCTCCAGCCTCCCATGAAGAGTCATGGTTGTCCCTTATCTTTTGGGCTTTTCTCAACACAGATGCTGAGATATCTTAGTCACTGAATTATACTTACATCTATACTGTGACTCAATGTCCCAGCAGATTTACAGGCTTCTTTATCCCCTTTCCCTCATCCTCTATCTATTCTTCACATGGCCAACTATTACCTCTTATCAGGAAAGTTCCTCTTTCTCTTTTCCTATTTAAGGCAGATGGTAGCTTCCTACATAACCAAAGTATAAAGTGTGTCTAAGCACAGCTTATTTCCCTCCTAATATTTGGGTATTTGGAGGATCCTAGAAGTCTAGGGTCCAAATCATCTCCAAATGTAAAGATCAAATACTGTTATAGAAGTGAAAGGAGAATTTCATAAAGGCATAATTATCACGTGTGATCCCAATATTCCCTTGTGTTTGTGAATTTTTGGTTCATTGGGGGAGGCATAAAATAAGCATGTACACCAGAAAAAAGTTAATTATAGGCTTTCCTAAGTGTTACAAAGAAAATAAACAGTGGCTTAGTAGAGAGTAATTGGGTTGGAAAAGGGAAAAGTTCACTATACAATGTGGTTAGGGACGGCCTCCAGTGAGATGATTTTTGAGCTCTGGCCTGATAGCCAAGCATGGACAGAGAGCTGACAGAGGAGTCTTCTAGGCAGAGAAAATAGGGAATTCAAAAGCCTGAGTCAGCAAAGAACTTGGTGAGTTCAGAAAAGGTGACCAGTGGGCTAGAGCAGTGCTTTTCAACTGTATGTCAGGCACTCATTGATAATGACATTTGTAAGACACATGGCACTGCTTATGATCCAGAGGCAACCAGACTTGGAACTCAGACTGCTGCTAGCCCCATGTGGTCTTCCAAGGCTTAGAGACTCAGGATATTGGCATACCTGTAACAAACTTGGAACATACCTGTATACCTTGCATAGTTTAGAAAACTCTGGGCTAAAGTATAGTGAAAAAACTAAAAAGTGATAGAAGATAGGGTTGGAGAAGTAGGAAGGAGCTGGTTACATAGGGGCTGATAGGGTTTGGATTTTTCCTATTTGCAGCAGGGTATGTTATGATTTTAGGTAGCATCTAATTTTAGAGTTAAGCAAAGATGTAAGGAGAGAAGCTTATATAAGTCTGTATGGCACAAGAAAAGAGGATGGGAAGGAGCTGGATAAAGATTTTTGCAAAATGAGTTATTAGAGAGAAGAGAGTCAAATAGAAGAGAAGATATTTGGGGAGCCCATGCTAAGTAGTCAAGTTTCAGTATTTTCCCAGGCTTGAGTCAAGGCATGACTCAAGGCTTGAGATGTTTCTAAGAGCATAAGAAAGCAGGAAGTATCACCTTGAAAAATGGCTGAGCCATTACCTAGAAAGAATTCCCTTATCTGGTTCTTCCACACTCACCTGGGAATGGGGTTCTTCTCATCTCACTCTTCATCTCCCAAGGCTCTTTCCCTTGCTCCAATAAGGAGATGACATATGGCTTAGAGATACAAAGTCCTGCATACAAAAATCGATATGAAAATTGGCCATGTTTTGGGCATTTCAGCTGGTTCCTTAATTCTGATGGAATGACATTACAGGAATGAATAGATCAAGGGGTGACAGACTATATAAAGCTTTTGGCATAGTTTAGTGGGACTGCCAACAGTCAATTCTATAAAAGTTAAACCATTTTCTAAAGGGCCGGGGCAGAAATTCAGCCCAGCATTTTTGGAGGATCATCAGACAGCAGTAAGTGAGGTAATACAAGGGACCCCTAGAGGACAGGGTGTTCGACCCCTGGTCAGGGAACTAAGATCCCACATGCTGCAGGGCAACTAAGCCCACTCGCCACAACTACTGAGCTTGTGCACCTCAACTAGAGAGGCTGCATACCCATGCGCTCTGGAACCCATGTGCCACAACTACAGGGCCCACACACCCTGGAGCCTGCATGCCACAACTAGAGAGAGAAAACACACAAGCCACAACTAGAGTGAAGCCCATGCGCCGCAATGAAGAGCCCACACGCCTCAAAGAAGATCCCACATGCCACAACTAAGACCTGATGCAGCCAAAAATAAATAAAATAAATAAACAAATAATAAATCTTAAAAAAAAAAAAGAGGGGGCCCCTAGAGACAGTTTGGAGTTTGAGTCAGGTCAACTGCCTGATTAAAAAAAAAAAAAAATCAATATTCTTCAGAAGAATATAACAGAATCCAGAGTTTCCACAATGCATTATTTACAGTGTCCAGGATGAAAACCAAAATTACTACATAAAAGGAAGAAAAAATGAATCAGACTCAGAAAAACAATTAATGGAGACCTAACCTGTGATAACACAGGACTGATAACACAGAATCAGTAGACTAGGCTTTTAAAACAGTTAAAATATCTATATTCAAGAATGTAAAGGAAAATATGCTTGTAATTTCTCAGCAGCAAAATAGAAATTATAAAAAAGAACCAGTAAAAAGTCTAGAATTGAAAAATACAGTATCTGAAATACAAAAATTCTCTAGATGGGCTTAACAAGACATTGAAGAAGACATGGAAGGAATCAGTGAACTTGAAGACACAACAATAGAAATTATCTAATAAATCAATAGAAAAAATTAGTTGAAGAAATAATGGCCAAAAATTTCTCAAATTTGGTGAAAGACATATTTAGTTTCAAGAAGTTCAGTGAACCACAAGCAGGTTAAAAGCGGCCTCTAGGCTGAAGCCCACGCACCTAGAGCCCGTGCTCTGCAACAAAAGAAACTGCCGCAGTGAGAAGACCGGGCACTGCAACGAAGAGTAGCCCTCGCTTGCTGCAGCTAGAGAAAGCCCAAGTACATCAACAAAGATCCAATGCCGCCAAAGATAAACAATAAATAAATAAATAAATGTAAAAAAAAAAGGGGCCTCTGGAATTTTGCTGGTGGTCCAGTGGTTAAGACTCCGCTCTCCCAATGCAGGGGTTGTGGGTTCAATCCCCGGTTGGGGAACTAGAATCCCTCATGCCATGCAGCACAGCCAAAAAAATAGTAATATAATAAAAAATAAAGATAAAACACCCTCCTAGGGGAAAATGAGGAAAAAAAGGGGGGGGGCCTCTAGACAACAGAGAGCTAATCCAGCCAATGGTGGGCCCCAGGGTTGAGAAGGGTCCATTTTAGTTTCCCTAAGAACATCTGAAGCAATTTTCATAGTTTGTGCCTCGCTAGTTCATTTATTGCAAGTTAATAAAAATATACAGATTTTAAAGCCATATTCTGAATTTTTAACAATCCAGCTATACTCTTTGTGAACTTTGTTATGGTGGTAACAATACCATTGGACAGAGGAAACAAGGCAGCACAGGAGACCAGTGAGAGTCACATCACATCCTGTTCCCAACTGACTAAAGGGCACACTCATGAAATATCTGATACACACCAAATTCCCTTATTAAATCTGAAATTTTCATCAGTTCCTGAATACCCTCTTTATTTCCCAGATTCGATTCTGACCTACACACAGTAAAAAAAAAAAAAAAAAAAAAAAAGTTTTAATAATTAAACAAAAACCAAAACCTAAAGAGTCCCTAAGGGTAATTCTGAACTATGAGAGGGGAAAAAATCCTCACCCACTGATACCAGGCTCTGATAGTTCTCCAACATCATACTCCTGTATAAACTCCTCTGAGCAGGGTTCAGCCATTCCCATTCCTCCTGGGAAAAGTCTATTGCTACATCCTTGAATGTCACCAAGTCCTGAAATGACACAAAGACATTCTTGATCAACCAATGCTCATGTCCACATGTGACTTCGAGTTGAAGTGTTAAGCTGTCCCTACTTTATGTGAGAAATAGCCCTTAGAGAAAAAAAAAAAACAACTTAAACATATAACATTAAACGCTAACCTAAAATAGTACTTATTGAACTAAAATGCTAACCTAAAATGCTAAACTGCATTGTATATGATGGTGCTAATCCATTTCTCAGCATGGGGAAATATGGACAGGTGGCCACAGGGCAGTAAACAAGGGCTTCAAGTAAGGACGTATACCTGTGGTTGAACCTTCCAAAACAGCAAAAAAAGAATATCTAAGTTGATATTTTGTAAATTTTACTCTATGGGATCCTAGTGTTTCAGGGGAAAGAGGCATTGAACTGACATGGCTGTGGTTTTTTTCTTACATAATAAAAATATATATCTAGAATGCAATTTTTTTGTGCTGTACCATTAAGAATTAATTAGCATGCCAGGCCATACCACAGTGACCTGGATAGCAATATGAGAAATCACCCAGCATAAGACTACAACACGGGCTTTCCTGGTGGCGCAGTGGTTGAGAGTCCGCCTGCCGATGCAGGGGACACGGGTTCGTGCCCCAGTCCGGGAAGATCCCACATGCCGCGGAGCGGTTGGGCCCGTGAGCCATGGCTGCTGAGCCTGCACGTCCGGAGCCTGTGCTCCGCAACGGGAGAGGCCACAACAGTGAGAGGCCCATGTACCACAAAAAAAAAAAAAAAGACTACAACACATCAACTTGTGTGCTGAATTTGAGTATAACAAACCAATATATACTTAGACAATATCAAAATGAAATAATTATAATTTTTAGTTTCATAAAGACTTAATGTCCAGTTACCATCACCATCAGGTTGAGACAAATTTTTTTCTGTTTTTTTTAAACTGAGGTATAGTTGATTTACAATAAGTTTCAGGTGTACAACATAGTGATTCACAATTTTTAAAGGTTATAATCCATTTGTAGTTATTATAAAATAGTGGCTATATTTCCCTTTGTTGTACAGTATATCCTTGTGGCTTATTTATTTTACACATAATAGTTTGTATCTCTTAATTCCATACCCCTATCTTGCCCCTCCCCCCAGTAGCCACTAGTTTGTTCTCTATATCTGTGAGGCTTGTGACAATTTTTTTTAAGTATTATGGGCATTTTCATCTTCACATTTATTTCCACTGAAAATAAAAATCTTTGTAATGCTGTGTTGTCATTTGCAGCAACATGGATGGAACTAGAGGGTATTATGCTAAGTGAAATAAGTCAAAGAAAGACAAATACTGTATGATCTCACTTATATGTGGAATCTAAAAAACAAAACAGAAACAGACTTTGTATAGATATAGAGAGCAAACTGGTAGTTGCTAGAGAAGAGGGGAGTACAGTATGGAAAAGTGGAACAAAAAAGAGTAACCTTACAGTGCAGAAACCTGACAAATACTACCTCAACCAGGTAATCAAGGTATAGTAATAACTCAGGTTGATAGTATGAACCCTTGATATATGATGAAAATGGAACTCTGTGATCTTCCTTCTAAAAACACATTACTCCAGTCTAACCAGGAAAAAAACATCAGGTTTGAGAGATGTTCTGAAAAATACCAGAGAACCTCTCAAAACTGACAAGGTCATCAAAAAGAAGGAAGGTATGAGAAACTGTCACAGACAAGGAGACAAAACTACCTAGAAGATAGAACTACTAAATGTAATGTGGTATCCTGGATAGGATCCTGGAACAGAAAAACGATATTAAGTAAAAACTAAGGAAATCTGAACAAAGAATGGACTTTACTTAATAATAATGTATCAATATTGGTTCATTAATTTTAACAAATGTCCCATACTAATGTAAGATGTTAGAAACAGGGGAAGCTCAGTGTGATGCATAAGGATCCTCCCTGCTATCAGCAAATTTTCTATTATTAAAAACAGTTTATTTTTAAAAATCTATTTTAAAAAGTAAATCCTATAGGGAGTTCCCTGCTTGCCTAATGGTTAGGATTCCAGGCTTTCACTGCATGGCCTGGGTTCAATCGCTGGTCGAGGAACTGAGATCCTGCAAGCCACACAGCGCAGCCAAAAAAAAGTAAACCCTATCAAAAGGAAGACATCAAAGCTTTAAATTTGGGCTTCCCTGGTGGCGCAGTGGTTGAGAGGCCGCCTGCCGATGCAGGGGACACGGGTTCGTGCCCCGGTCCGGGAAGATCCCACATGCCGCGGAGCGGCTGGGCCCGTGAGCCATGGCCGCTGAGCCTGCGCGTCCGGAGCCTGTGCTCCGCAGCCGGAGAGGCCACAACAGTGAGAGGTCCGCGTACCACAAAAATAAAAATAAAAAAAAAAAAAAAGCTTTAAATTTTCTCTAAGATTTTTAAATATACAAAGTCCAGCACTTAACTCAAAATAATGAGGCACATAAGACAAAATTAAGAGGAAAAAAATCAGAAAATAAAAACTCACAGAGGGACTTCCCTGGTGGTGCAGTGGTTAAGAGTCTGCCTGCCAATGCAGGGGACACGGGTTCAAGCTCTGATCTGGGAAGATCCCACACGCCGTGAAGCAACTAAGCCCATGCACCACAACTACTGAGCCTGCGCTCTAGAGCCCGTGAGTCACAACTACTGAGCCCACGCGCCTAGAGCCCGTGCTCCGCAACAAAGAGAAGCCACCGCAATGAGAAGCCCATGCACTGCAACAAAGAGTAGCCCCTGCTCGCTGCAACTAGAGAAAGCCTGCACACAGCAACGAAGACCCAATGCAGCCAAAAATAAATAAATAAAATAAATAAATAAAGTGGGAAGAAGAGGGGGCTCTATGCCTCATCACACTCAGTTTTATTTACCCATTAGGCAGTCTGAGTTAAGGACAGTGCTCTCTGGGAGAAGTGGGAACCAGGCCCTTAGATAAGACTGTTAATCAGGGAATTTTCAAAAGGAAAGCAGCTTTACAAAGTCCTAAACAGTAAGACTGCTTTTCAAGAAGGAGAAATGAAATAACTAACCTGAGGCATGGCTTTCACTGGTTCAACTGTCATTTTCGCCTCCTTTTCCTGGCTTTTCTCTTGGGGAACAGCACTGTCCTGGAAGGGTAAGGCTGAAGGGAGAAAAAGGAGAGTGAAAAGATGAGGCCTTTGCACTCCCAGAATCACCAGCCTAAAAACTCTATCTTCTCTTTCTTCCTCCCAGCCTTCTTTGCTTCCACTGCCCACATAACTGGGAGATTATGGGCAACCGATGGCAGTTGAGATGTATAACTTATAACTCTGTTTCTCTTATGCTCAAGGTCCTAAATTTAATCTTTTTTCTAAAAGTTGCTTTCCCATTCTTTGGTCTTATTATGAATAAAAATAATGAGATGTGCTAGGTACTCTGCATAGATTATCTTCTCTCACCTTATTTTTAAAATGATCCCATGAAATAGCTGTTTCCTCTATTTTATATTTTGTAGGTAAAGGTGGACTCTTTCCCTTCCTGCGTCCCTGCTTCATGCTTTGATACAGTCTTCAGTTTGAAAATCTGACTCCTAAATGCCACCAGAGGCCAGGGTTATCCACCTTCTCCTGCCAAACCCCCAGGGGCTTTGCTTTCCTCTCACCCTGGGACAGTGGATCCTTTAGCACCCAATTCTGCCACCTTCACTCTCATCTCTGTCTTCAACCCCTCGGTTTCCCCTCCTTTTTGTCACCCAGAACTGAGGGTGTCTCCTGCTTCAGTCAGGAGCTCCAGTCACCCCACCTCTTGCTTCTCACTGGAACTCTTGGACTGGGAGCAGGGAATTCTACTCCAGGATCCTTATCCTGGCAACACGCAATTCCATAAAGCAACACACACAAAGAAGCCAAAGCTATCAACCTTCCAAGTAGTCTCCCCACACACACCACAGTCACACAGGGCCAGTTACAACCATACAGGGTAACACACAGACACTGACACAAGACCTCACATACCTTCTGATTACACAGAGGACACAATCGCAAGCACCCAACGGAAGGCACATCATATGCAGTCACATATATCACAGTCTCAGAGAGGCCATGGGTACAAACACACATGGTGATACACAAACATCACACATATACCCCCGATCTTATTCTCTCACACACACCCATGGCTCACTGCCCCTCGGCTCTGTCTCACTCACACCCACACTCTCCGCAACCTCACAGAAGCTATATTTGCAAGCCTTGTGGTGACAATCCATGGTTCACAGTCTCTCTCCTACTCACTTTGGTGTCACACACATCACTAGTTTTCCTCTCTCTCTCTCTCACACACACATCCTTAATGGTCTCTGTTTCAGAGACACACGGATTTCTCACATAGATACACAAACACTGCAATTGCTATCTCTCCCTCACACACACAATACACACTGGGGTCTCCCTCACACTCGGACACACACGGACTGTCATACAACCTCACACGCTCACACCAACATGCTTTCGGTCTCTCTCACACACACACCCGCCCCCACGATCTCTCCCTCTCAGCCTCTAACACTTGCTGACCTCTCACACTCGGGCACACCCGTTTCCCTCACACACACCAACATGCTCTCGGTCTCTCACACTCACAGTCAGGTCTCTCTCTCTCTCACACACACACACCCGCCCTCAACACGATCTCTCCCTCTCAGTCTCTCCCGGGGCCCCACACCTGCTGACCTCTTACACACAGGCACATCCGTTTCTCTCACACCCACACCAACACACCCCGCTCGCACTCTCTCTGTATTTTTCACAGTCCAGTCTTGTCTCTCACACACACGCCTTTCCAGCCGCCCCACAGCCCAGAGCCCGGTTCGAGCCGCGGCCTCGGCGCAGCCGCGCGGGCCTCTGGGAAATGTAGTCGGTCCGGGAGAGACGGCGCAGCGGTGCTCAGGCCAGGGCTTCACGGCCGGGTCCGAGCCGCTTGCCTCGCTTGCCCTGCCCCGCCCCGCCCTCGGGCTTGGACACCCGACCACCCAAAACAACCCAGAGGCCTCCCCCCGGAAGCCAGCCGCACTCACCCGAAAGACTTCAGAGCCGACGCCCGGGAACAGAGTGCGCAGGCGCCGAATCTCCCAGGTGGGCGGAATAAGGGGAGGGGTTAGACTCGAGGGGCGTGGAACGGGGCGTGGTTTAACGGAGAGGGGCGTGTTCTTAGGCTGTAGAGAATGGGAGGCGGAACCTTAGCGTCAGAGCGGGGGTGCCTGCGCAGGTATGTGACTACGCTCGAGGGTCTTGGCCCAGGGTTTCAGCAGAAAGACTACGATCGGGGGTCGGGGCCCAGGGTTTCGGGGGGCGTGGCGTGGCTGGGTGCGAGTGTACGCAGGCCCGTAGAATGCGCACTCGCCCCTCCCGCGCCTGGAGACCAGAAGTGTCCCTAGTTACGGGGTCTAAGCGAGGTGCGGCGGAGCCCCTGGTGTGCTCCTGTGTGTACCTGTGATTTGACGCTGTCTGTGTCCGTGTGACCGCCGTGTCGCTCCGAGTGCGGCCCTCTAAGCCTGTCTGCGGGAACGTGATTTTCTTTCTGTGCTAAGTTTTATGGCAGCAAGATCAGCGAGGGAACCCCGAATGGGCTCTATCACCTCTGTGATAACAGCAAATTATTACACTTCTCACCTGCAAAATGGGAATGTCGTTATTATCACTGTTCAGAAGTAGTGAATATGAGACGCACGTCTTTGGACCAGATCACTGGGATTGCACCCCATTCTGCCCCTGACCAGACTGTAAATGGTTCGTCGTATGGGAGACTAAGAAAAACGGTAAATTAGTAGCTGCCTTGGAAGTTGAAGTAAATAAGGAAAAGCCATTCAGGGGGATATAGCAGAGGAAAAAAAACCCCACAAAATCCCCCGACCTCTCAGATCTTACTTTCAAGTGAATGGAAACAGACCACCAAAGAATGAGTAAAATAAATAGTATATCGAATGTTGAAAAGGCTGTGGAGAACAAAGGGAAGAGGAATAGAGAGTAGAGGAAATTAGAATATTTATTGTCAAAAAATGAGTAGTCAGGGCATTGCAACGCTTAACCACCATTCAAACTTTCATCCTGAATTTCAACATCGGCTCATTTGGGGAAGGGGGCGGCGGGAGATTCTTTACGTTGAATCTACTGTTATATTCTACCATTTCGTATTCACTTTGTTTGTAGTAACACTTTTATGTAGTCTTTCGGTTTGTATTTTCTCATTTTTCTATTTGAACTCAGAGACACCTTAAGTATTACCCTCCACCAATTCTGCCGTGGATATCCAAAATATTCTAAGACCATTTACTGAATAAATAGTCTTATTTTCCTGCTGATTTGAAATGTCCAATTCTGGTGTATCGTAAATCTCTATACGTGAATCCAATCCATCTATTTATGGACTCAGTGTCTGTTTCAACCCTCACACCCCCCTTTGCTCTACGGAACAACTATCACACTGTTTTAATAGTGGGAACTTTATACTTCTGTGTTTGATAGTGGGTACCACATTTCCTACGTAAGGGTTCACCATTTGCAAAGTTGTGGTATTTATTCTTGTGGATTCCTCCTTTGTGTGGATTTTAAAATTGTCTTGGAAAATCTCCTAATAAATACTATTGGTACGTGGATTGGAATTTTAGTGAATTTATAGATTAATTGGTGGGGGAACAGACATCTTTGAAATTAATAATTTTTCCTTTCAGGAATATAACGTTCCATTTACCATGTTGTTTTCACTCTCCTTTATTAATATTTTATAGGTATATATTTCATTCCAGTCTAGTATTTTTTTCATACTAAATCTATTCCTAAGGGTTATATTGGCTTCATCACTATTGGGAAGGATTTTTTTTTTGTTTTATTCTGATTACATTTTTAACTGGTTACTTGGGTAAGATTGCTTCTTCCTCTGTTCTAGATCAGACCGGGTTTTTAATCCGCTTGTCAGTTCCATTATTTTGTTTGTTGAATCTCTTGAATGTCTAAGCTGTACAACCATATAACAATTTTTTTTTCTTTTTCTATCCAACATTTACCTCTTATTTCTAGATTTAGTGTGTTGGCAAGTTTCTCTGATATAATACTTGTCATGGTAATTATGGGCCTCTTTGTATTGTTCCTGTCTTGACCACAAATACTATCAATATTTACCATTAAAAATCAGGCTTCCTGGGCTTCCCTGGTGGCGCAGTGGTTGGGAGTCCGCCTGCCGGTGCGGGGGGCGTAGGTTCGTGCCCCGGTCCGGGATGATCCCGCGTGCCGCGGAGCGGCTGGGCCCGTGAGCCATAGACGCTGGGCCTGCGAGCCATGGCCGCCTGGCCTGCACGTCCAGAGCCTGTGCTCCGCAACGGGAGAGGCCACAGCAGTGAGAGGCCCGCGTACCGCAAAAAATAAATAAATAAATAAAAATAATAATATTGTTAGGCTTTTGAATCAAACTAAGAGGTTTTATTCCATTTTGAAATTGCAGACAGTTTTCTCTGGTTTGGATGAAATTTATTTGTTGGAACCTACGGAGATGATCATTTCCTCTTTAAATTATCCATTTTCTGAGCTGTGTTAATAATGTGAGCAATCATTTATTCCTGGGATGTGCCTTTTTTAGTTACGGTGGGTTACTCTTCAATGAAGTTGGTAGATTAAATTTGTTAACACTGCATTTGGAAGTTCTGCATCTATATTGATAAATAATATTGGTCTATAGTTTTCTTGTTCGATGCCATCCCTCTTGGGTTTTTATGGGTACATTTATGTATGTATGTGATAATATTTACAAAAGTGTCTGGAATCATTCAGACCAAAGTTATTTTTAGTTACTTCTTGGGAAGAATCTTCAAACGGTAAAGACTTATCCAAAGGAAATTTTGCTCCATTTATTGTATATTAGTATATTATTATATAGCATATTATAGTTCTCCACTGGGGCGATATCATCCCCAAGGGGGCAAAAAATGATTTTTTAAAAAAATTGATTCTTGGTGGGGGAAAAATATTCCTTTATTCTTTAAAAGAAACAGACATACATAAACATATACATAAACATATACAGTACTTCTGTGGTATTAAAATTTCATGGAGGTGGGAATGATTAGAAAAAGAAAAGTCTAAAAAAGGTTTCTTGGGAGGACAATACTGAAAAACAGTTTGAGAAGACAGTGATCTCTCTCTCTATATTTTGCTCTTTCATAAAGTAATATGTTCTTGTTTTATTTGAATCACTAGAAAATTTAAATTATTGAGTAAGAAAATATCAAAATTAAACTAACCCTCTGGTCAGGTGATTCAGATTTACAGCCAAGTTTGGAATTCACTGTCATCAGAGATGCATAAGACTCCTGGATCTAGGATTAGGCAGGTTGTTGGGAAAACAGGCAGAAACATAAAAGGCATTGTAGTTCTTTGATATAATACTTTGGGTGTGGGGCCCTTAGGAGAACTCTGGTAGAACTATGATTATCTTAAAGAAGGAAACCGGTGATGAGATACACAGGCGAGAGTAGGAGTTTTCCACCCAACACTGCGTTTGGTGGACTCAGAATTTAGAATATCCATGTTGTTGACGTCATCAAAGTGAGCCTTGGCAGTTGGGAGACAGAGGTTCCTAATGAAAACGGTATGGCATCCTAGAAGAAAAAAAAAAAAAACGCATAAAAAAAAAAAAAAAAAAAAAAAAATCACCGTGGGAAATGCTGTTTCGCAGTACGGCAGCGCCACCTTCGGGACAGAGGCCCCAGGTGCAACGGCTCTATGTCCTGGAAGCTGAGATTTCTCTCTTGGAGGCCTTGTGAGTCTCCCCTTGACATCCGCATGCCTGAGCAAGTCGACGAATGATTAGCAAGCAAAGGACCCCACTGGCTTCGCTGGCCAAATGAACATAGTATATTCAGGGGTGTAGCCGACATGGCCCTGGCGTCATCTCACTTTTACACGAAGGGGTGACAGCCACCCTTTCTGGGAAATTCTATCCCTATCTCTGCCTCCTAAAGATGCACTAGCTCGAGGGGCCTTTTTTCACAGAGGTTCCTCTGAGACTCCTGGGCCCAATTTGTTGATATTTCGGCCAAGAAGAAGGCTGATGGTAGCTGCTGATGGTGGCAGCTCTCCAGACCGATGACAACCTCAAAGAGGGAGAATAAAGGTCAGGTAGCAGAACAGGCCAAATGAAAAGCCATCAGCGTGCCTTAGACAACACTCTAAGGACCAGGCCTCACAAAACACTAAGAATCTAGAGGAGCAACGGCCTACTTTCTACCCAAACAGGAGAGAGAAGAAAGGGCAACTGATTTTATTAGTAATTGTTACATACTTTACTTAAAAAAAATTTTTTTTGAAGTATAGTTGATTTACAATGTTGTATTAGTTTCTGGTGTACAGCAAAGTGATTCAGATATATATATATATTATGTATACATGTATTTTTCATATTCTTTTACATTATGGTTTATTACAGGATATTGAATATAGTTCCCTGTGCTATACAGTAGGACCTTGTTGTAATTTTTACATACTTTAAAAATCACAGCAGTTGGCTAAGACAGGGAGAAATAGGTCATACTAGTTGTCTCACATTTTAAGAGATACGATATGCAAATTGATGCAAAACAAAGCTTACGACTGTTAAAATAATCCTGGGATCTTAGATAAGGACTTTCCACTCCCTAAGAACCAGAAAATATATTTCATATAAAACCATAGTTCCTGGGGACCTCCCTGGTGGCACAGTGGATAAGACTCCACGCTCCCAATACAGGGGGCCCTGGTTCGATCCCAGGTCAGGGAACTAGATCCCACACGCATGCTACAACTAGGAGTTCACATGACGCAACTAAGGAGCCCGCGTGCCGCAACTAAGACCCGGTGCAACCTAATAAATAAACGTTTTTTTAAAAATTGTCATCATTTATTAAAAAAACCAACAATACTTCCTATAAAATCTCTACTGAGATTGTGTCCAGTGCAGATGGGGGTCCCACTTAATAATCCAGGAAGATAAGATATTCATGGTTTTATTTTATTATTTTTTTAAAGATTCTTTTTTGATTTGGACCATTTTTAAAGTCTATTTTGAATTTGTTATAATATTGCTTCTGTTTTAGTTTTTTGGCCACGAGGCATGTGGGATCTTAGCTCCCCAACCAGGGATCAGACCCGCACCCCCTGCATTGGAAGGCAAAGTCTTAACCACTGGACTGCCAGGGAAGTCCTTAATGGTTTTAAAATACTGTCAGTTTAACTCTAGTCAACAAATATTCTCTAGGCACATGTTGGATCCTGAGAGTTCAGAAACCAATAAAATAGAGTGTCAGCCCATAAGGAGTTCATGGTCAAGCTAGAAACACAGATAGGCAGGCACTTTGTATTAGTCAGGTTTTTCTCCAGAGAAACAGAGTCAATAGGATGTAATATAGACATAGAGATGTGTTGTAAGGAATTGGTTCATTTGATTACAGAGGTTGGCTAACCCAAAATCTGCAGGGTGGACTGGCAGGCTTGAGACCCAGGAACATTGATGTTTCAGCTCCAGCCTGAAGGCCATCTGCTGTAGAGCCAGGAAGAGCTGATGTTTCAGATAAAGTCCAAAGGCCACTGTGAGAGAATTCTCTCTTGCCCAGGGGAGGCTGGTCTTTTTGTTGTATTCAGGCCTTATTATGGAGGACAATCTGCTTACTCAAAGTCCACCAATTTTAAAGCATGATTTTTTTAAAACATAAATTTATTTATTTATTTTTGGCTGCGTCAGGTCTTTGTTGCTGCACGCGGGCTTCCTCTAGTTGCGGCGAGAGGGGTCTATTCTTCATTGCAGTGCACGGGCTTCTCTTGCTGTGAAGCACGGGCTCTAGGCACGCGGGCTTCAGTAATTGTGGCATGCAGGCTCAGTAGTCGTGGCTCGTGGTCTCTAGAGCACAGGTTCAGTAGTTGTGGCACACAGGCTTAATTGCTCTGAGGCATGTGGGATCTTCCCGGACCAGGGCTTGAACGCGTGTCCCCTGCACTGGCAGGCTGATTCTTAACCACTGCGCCACCAGGGAAGTCCCTTCACCAATTTTAATGTTAATCCCACGGGACTTCCCTGGCAGTCCAGTGGTTAAGATTCCACACTTCCACTGCAGGGGCATGGGTTTGATCCCTGGTTGGGGAACAAAGATCCTGAATGCTGTGCAGCACAGCCAAAGAAAAATTTTTTTTAATTTTCTAAAATGTTAATCCCATCCAAAAACACCCTCACAGAAACACCCAGAATAATATTTGACCAAATATCTGGGCCCCATCCCATGGCCAGTTTTGCAAATTACACGTTCATACATATAGACAATGTGAAAGAGAGGTGTGGGTGTAAAAATGTATCTAAGTTTTTCAACAAAATATGAAAAGTGGGCTTCCCTGGTGGCGCAGTGGTTGAGAGTCCGCCTGCCGATGCAGGGGACACGGGTTCGTGCCCCGGTCCGGGAAGATCCCACATGCCGCGGAGCGGCTGGGCCCGTGAGCCATGGCCGCTGAGCCTGCGCGTCCGGAGCCTGTGCTCCGCAACCGGAGAGGCCACAACAGTGAGAGGCCCGCGTACCGCAAAAAACAAACAAACAAACAAAAAAAAATTACATTTCTATATACTAGCATTAAAAATCAGAAATTGAAATTAAAATACTTATTAAAATAGCACCAAAAAATGAAATACTTAAAAGACCTGTACACTAAAGACTACAAAACACAGTTGAGAGAAATGTTGAAGAAATACAGGTATGTTTATGCATTGGAAATCCCAATATTGTTAAAACATCAGTTCTCCCAGAATTCATTTGTAAATTTAACAACATCTCAATCAAAATCCCTGTAGCCTTTTTAATAGAAATCAATAATCTGATTTGACCATTCATATGGAAATGCAAAAGTTGAATAGTCAAAGCAGTTTTTATTTTAAGTGTTTTTTTTTTTAATTTATTTTTTGGCTGCGTTGGGTCTTCATTGCGCATGGGCTTTCTCTAGTTGCAGCGAGCAGGGGCTACTCTTTGTTGTGGTGCGTGGGCTTCTCATTGTGGTGGCTTTTCTTGTGGCGCACAGGCTTCAGTAGTTGTGGTGCGTGGTCTCAGTAATTGTGGCATGCGGGCTCTAGGGTCCACAGGCTTCAGTAATTGTGGCACACAGGCTTAGTTGCTCTGCGGCATGTGGGATCTTCCCAGATCAGGGATCAAACCTGTGTCCCCTGCATTGGCAGGAGGATTTTTTTTTTTTTTTGCGGTACGCGGGCCTCTCACTGTTGTGGCCTCTCCTGTTGTGGAGCACACGCTCCGGACGCGCAGGCTCAGCGGCCATGGCTCATGGGCCCATCTGCTCCACGGCATGTGGGATCTTCCCGGACCGGGGCACAAACCCGTGTCCCCTGCATCGGCAGGCGGACTCTCAACCACTGCGCCACCAGGGAAGCCCGGCAGGAGGATTCTTAACCACTGCACCACCAGGGAAGTCCCAAAGCAATTTTGAAAAAGAGTAAAGTTGGAGGGCTTACATTACCTGACTTCAGGACTCATAAAGCTACAGTCATCAAGAGAGTATTGGCATAAAGACAGAAAAAGGTTAATGGAACAAACTAGAGTCCAGAGATAAACCTGTACATATATGGTCAATTGATTTTTTTTTGAAAAAGAGCAAAGGCAATCCAGTGGAGAATGGAAAGTGTTTTATCAGTTGATGCTGGAACAACTGGATATCTATATGCAAAACAAACAAACAAACAAAAAACAACCAACTTTGATCCATCTCTTGAAGCGTATACAAAAATTGACTCAAAAATATGATAGAGGTAAATGTAAAACCTAAAACTACAAAACTTTTAGGAGAAAATATTTGTGGCTTTAGGTTAAGCAAAGGTTTCTTTTGATATGACACCAAAAACACAATTCATAGAAGATAAAAATGATAAATAATGACCTCATCAAAAATTAAGAATTTCTACTCCTCAGAACATACTCCTAAAATGAGAAGATAACAGCCTAGAGAAAATTTGCATTTCACAAATATGAAAAGGGATTTGATCTGGAATATATAAAGAGCACTCAAAGCTCAAAAGAAGGCAAACAAATCAACTTTAAATGGGCCACAGATTTGAACAGATATTTCATTAAAGATTAACTGATGGCAAATAAGTACATGAAAACATGTTCAATGTTAGTCATTAGGGAAATGCAGATTAAAACCACAGTGAGATACCACCACGCATATTAGCATACATAAAATAAAAGGAATGTCCACATACCAACATTATGATACGGAATAAATGTTGGAAAGGATATTGTTTGTAGGCATGTCAAGGTATATGTTAATATAAAAATATACTTGGAAGGAATAATGTCAGTGTATTAAAGTATTTCACATAATTATACAAGATTATATATGAAATTGACTGATTTTATTATAACCACTTAAACATTCTGTTGGTATAGTGAAGAAGAACAGTTGTCACAAATCAAGAATAACTGAAACATAATAACTGATTGCTGTAATGACTTCATTCTGATCTTGTCAATTATCCTAAAACCTAACAAAAGTTGGAAATAGAGAATATTGCTTTCTCTCTGTTTAGAAATTTTCACAGAATATATATGGTTGGAAGACTAAAGCAAAAAGAAGAAAAATTATATTGATGTCGTTCACGATGTAACAGAGGAATTTAAGAAGCATATATTTCAAGGACTATTAACATTATTTCCTACAAAACAAAAACAAAATAATACATTTTAGGACTGCAAGCAGTTCTTTCAAGATTCATGCTTAAAGATTTCAGAGATGCTTAAATACAAACTTTAAAAATAAAGCAAAACAGTGATATTATGAAATCTTCCTTTTTATACTTGACTGAAGGAAACCTCAAAAGTAATGTTGTCATTTGGATATAGAGGAAGACATAGTTAGAACTGGTCTTCTTGAGACATATGTTAAACTTGCTTAGCTAAAGTTTTGTTCAATTCTCTTCCAAGGACAGCCTTTACAAACATTTGTATAAGTTATGTAAAAATTGAGAAATGTAACTTGCTACTCATTTTTTAAAATTTCCATTTTAAAGAAGGCTGAGTAAAAGAAGACATTCCACATTTTCTAAAGAAAATGCATATGTTCAGGTGATTCTAAATTATTCTTATTTTTTGTGGTTAATAATTATTTTTAAGTATCACATTCTGATTCTACCTATGTCATCATGCCATTCTTCAATGCAAGGATCAAGTAATTTTTAAATATTTTCCTTTTAGTTAATCTGTGTAAACTGTGGAAGGATAATCAAACTTGGAAATAGATATGTTCTTCTAAATTCCTGAAAAATAATCTTCTAGTTTAAAAAATACTAATGAATATATTACTGGTTTAAAAATATTTCCATTTTAAAGAGAAAAAACTAAGATGTATTAATATGCTAGTTCTTATGACTTTTTAAATTTAAATTCACAATTAACGTAGAAAACTACCTGGCTCTCATAGGTACTCAACATTTTTTTTGTAATTGGGAGGTTGAGGACATCTGCAAATCTTGGTTTCTGTTTATATATTGAAATTATGCAAGATTCAGAAAAGGAGTTGATGAAATCTGCATGTTTTCAAACTTGGAAATTTGTATCATATTTTCTATACACTTATAGTTTGGTAAATCTTTGCTCCTAACAACTGATACTACAGTTTAAAAAAAAAACACTTAAGTGAATTCCCTATAAAATCTGTCCTTTTCTAATATTCAGGCAACTCTGGAAAACTTAGGTTTGTCTTTATAGGAAGTGAAGTATATCTAAATTTGAAATTTATTGGTATCAAAAATGTAAAGCATTCAACCTTATTTTTGAATACTCTTTGTGTGTGTTATTACATCCTCTTTTTTTTGTTTGCTTGTTTACATCCTCGTTTTTAACAATACTGTAGCATACTTTTACGAAATTTATAAGTGCTTATATTTTCTTTTCAAAGAAAAGGTTTCAAGGTTAATAAAACCTACTTCTCTGTTTAAATTTCAATTAATTTTTTTTCTTAATGCTGTCTGTTGGTGAGTTATGTTCATTTTCTACCTTCTCGAGGTCTCTGGTTCACTTATTATTGACATTGTTTGTAGTTTTCTTATCTATAAATGCATTTAAAGTAGTAACTTTGAGTATAGATATGGTCACATCCCACGGGTTTTGTTTTATACTGCTCATTCACTTCATCTTGCTCTCATTGTTTCACTGAAGGAGAAAATATTAGGTAGTATGTAACATAAATATTTTGTTAATGTCTAACTTATTACATTTTTACCTGGGCTATAGCCCTATATGATTGTTTACAAACTTCTCCACACCTTCCTCAACTTGATAGTTAAATGTTTAACTGTTGTTTTTAAATGTGTGGTGTTTTATTCACTGTGTATTTTCTGATGCACAGTAAATGATGAATGGGGATTTTTTTTTAACTTACATTCTTCAAATATGAATTTTCTTTAGCCATAAGAGACTTATGGCTAAAGAACTTCCCACATACCTGACATTCACAGGATTACTTTCTCTTTTGCTTTCTTTATGTAAGTTAGAATTAGCTTAAACTAAAGGGTTTCCAAAATTTCTCTACTTTAATGGTTGCTAGCCAGCATGGATTTTCCAATTACTAATGATTGATAGGTAGTGTTGGGAAGCTTTGCTACATTATCACATTAATATGGTCTTTAATGTTGAATGTGATGGTGATGAATCTGCCGATGAATGTAACATGAGTTGAACCAAAAAGCGTTTCCACATTTCACAAGGTTGTACATAATTACCTGATGTTCCTTGAGGGATGAGACCAGTGAAGTCTTTGCTTCACTTATTTATGGGGATTTTCCATAGCATGAATTCCTTAAAGTTGAGGAAGAGGAGAGTGCCCGAAGGCCTTCCCACATTTCTTACATACGTTAGGTATGAATTTTCTTATGTCGAGTAAGTTGTGAGCACTGACTAAAGGCTTTCCCACATTCCTTGCATTCATAAGGCTTCTCACCGGTGTGAATTATCTGGTGTTGTTTAAGCTGTGAGCCCTGCCTAAAGGCCTTCCCACATTCATTACATTTATAGGGTTTCTCACCAGTATGAATTCTTTGGTGGTGGTTAAGCTGTGAGCCCTGCCTAAAGGCTTTCCCACAAACCTTACATTTGTAAGGTTTCTTACCAGTATGGATCCTCTGATGTTGAGGAAGATATGAACGATGGCCAAAGGCCTTTCCACATTCATTACATTTATATGGCTTCTCACCAGTATGGGTTCTTTGATGTTCATTAAGTTGGGTGATACCTCTAAAGGCCTTTCCACATTCCTTACAGACATAGGGCTTTTCTCCAGTATGAATTCTCTGATGTTTAATAATCAGTGATAAGTAACTGAAAGCTTTTCCACATTCAGTACATTGATAGGGTTTTTCACCAGTATGAGTTCTGTGATGTACGTTAAGTTGTGAGAGCCGAACAAAGGTTTTTCCACAATCCTTACATTCATAGGGTTTCTCACCAGTATGAATTCTCTGATGTCTGGTAAAGAGTGAGACAGAACCAAAGGCCTTTCCACATTCGGTACATTCATAGGGTCTTTCCCCACTATGAGTTCTCTGATGTTGAGGAAGATAGGAACGGCGATGGAAAGCCTTCCCACATTGCTGACATTCATAAGATTTCTCACCAGTATGAATTTTCTGATGACTAAGAAGACATTTCTTCTGCCAAAAGCCTTTTCTACATTCATTACACACATAGGGTCTACTTCCAGGTGGAATGTTATGAAGCAGGTTATGGGATGTTTGCTGTGTCAAAGCAGGTATTTCTTCATGAGTGATTATGACTTGACTGGAACGTCCTTCCTCATTTCTGTGATATGTTTCAAATGTGCCTTCACATTCCCAGTCATCTTGGAAACTGGGGTTCTCAGGATCTTTGTTTATAAATTTTTCCATTTTCTCCCATTGGGATACCTGATCTGAAAAATAATGAAAAAGCAGAGATGCTTTAGTGCCTGGTGTCAGTTAGAGCTTCTTTAGAAGAAATAGTTTTAAACTGAAAATAATGCTTATGGAAAAAGTAAGTGTTCCATACAGCTCCCAAATGTGACTACGCAGTTCCTGTTCTCCAAAATCCCCAGAGTTCCTGCTTTAGCCGGAAGGATCCAGCCAATCAGCAATGCATGCCTGAAACATTGATGGGATACTAGGTGGGCTCTGACCTGGAAGAGCTGCCCCCCTGGCTGCAAGGACCAGACACAACCTCATCAGGGCAGCACGCAGGATGAGGTTGGGTGCCCTTGGCCAAGGAGCAGTGCACAAGCCCAAACCAGGAGCAAGAACAAGACAGCAGCATATATTGAGAGAGAACATAAGTATGGCTTAAAATGCATCAAGAGATCAAGGAAGAAACAAAAATCTTAACTGCTGAAAGGAAAACAAACCAAGCAAAGGACACTGACAAAAACTAAATAGAAATTTTAACAATTGAAAGTACAGTGACTGTAGTTAGTTTTGTCAACTGGCATTCAGTATCCATTCCCACCTCCTAGTTGGCCTTCCTCTACTTAGGCTGGGAAAGTAATTTTCCAGCTCCTGGCACTGAAGACTCTGAAGGGAACTAAGTTTCCACCCTTTAGGCACACTTGTGTGAAATTCAGATGATAGAAGCAACATTTTCTGCTGCTTTGGCTATCAAAAGGTGGTTGCTGGCCTCTTCACTCCAGTTTAAAAGTACGTGTGGCAGCAGTGGTGGTGGCTTCATCGCCTTACTTTCTGATCCCAGATCATAGCTAAGGCAGTGTGCACTTGCAGGTGGTGGTCCTAGTGGCAGCTCCTGTGTCTCTACATCTTGGCTGTGGCTGAGGTAGCACATCTTCCAAAGATTCAGTGTTGCCACGTTCTGGAAGGCATTTCTGGAGAGCCAGCTCCTGTTACCCTTCTAACAGTTTTTAAGCACCCATTTCCCATATTTTATATCTATAAATACCTTCCTAATTTAAAAAAGACACACACATACACAGTCTTAATACTGATCTTAAGAAATTAGGAAAAAAAAAAAACAGGATTTCAGGAGAAGATAAGCCAGAGCAACCCTTCCAATAAAAACACATTTAAAAAATAAAACTTACACCAAAAAATCTTTATCAAAGATCTGAAAAAAATAGCCCAGAATTACCAGGCAAAAATCTAAGGAAACTTGAGCTACCAGCTCAAAGAGTACTGAAGCTGGTTTGCCCTGAGTACCAATCCTAATTTTAGTTCAGGTGATCGTGTGTGTGTGTGTGTGCGTGTGTGCGTGTGTGTGTGTGTGTGTCTTTTTTGCCCAAACCCATGTCAGGTGTCTTAGTCCATTTGGGCTGCTGTAACAAAATAGCACAGACTGGGTAAGTTATAAACAACAGAAAATTTTTTCTCACAGTTCTGGAAGCTGGGAAGAATGAGCTCAAGGTGCTGGCACTCAGTGTCTAGGAAATCAATTCTTATGTTGAGCCACCATATTTTGGAGTCAAGCTAAGTTTGCAGCTTAGCTTGAGCCCTAAGACAAAAGTAAAGTCAGTTTAAGATCGCATGTGAAAGGAGCCTCATTTTCTCTGTAAACCTTTGAGAAAAGAGTTTAAAAGGAAAACCTTTGAAAGCCAAACAGGTGAGGTTTGTTTGTTTTTCCTTCCTCACTCAGCTACTAGGCTGCTGTCTCTTCACCACCAACAGCTATTCCCTTGTTCCAACAATCGATCACACTTGGCTGAGAATTGCTAAACTTTCCATGTAGGAAAATGAGTGGGACCTGGTCATGCTATTGCTATCCAAATGCCCAATCCCTTGAGGGTACATGGATACAGCAAAGTAAAGAGAATGGCTTGAAAAATCAGGAAGGTGAAGTTTCAGAAGTAACTCAGACCTATTTCCAGCTTTACAAATCTCAAACTGTTGCTTCCAAAATGCAGTCAAACACTTTAGCACTTCCCTGGAGGGTCAAGATGGAGGAATCATGATGCTCAGGTGATAGTGAATTATGAGAGGACGGTCTTAACCAACAGCTGAGACTCCTGTCGTTCTCCAGTTTGTACACATCCCTCTGGGTGGCTATGTGTGGGAGGAGAGGGAGGGAATTAGCCACCCACACACACTCTGCTTAAGCGGAGTTGATGGCCACATCTTTGTGGCTATCCTGATAAGAAAAACCAACATTTTTAGACTTTGAGAGCTGAGTGACAACATGACCCTAAGGGGACGGGCAAATTTGCCTCGGAAAGGGAAAGAGGGCACTATAAAAAAAATTTTCTCAGATAGCCTTAATGTATTGAGTCCAATACTAGTTAAATAAATTACCTAACACCCATGAATTTACTCATTTAAAAAAGTATTTGAATGTAATCAGCAAATTTCTTTCTGACAGTGCAATTTAAATACAATTATTTTTTGAGAACACATACATCATTGTGAATGTTTAACATTACCACAGACATTTTCCCTTGTTCTGAAAAATTCTTCAAACATAATTTTTATTAACTGTAGAGTAATCCACTACATGAATGGACATGAGATTCACATGTAAGTCTATGACTTGCCCAGTCATTCTTGATTGTAGGGCACTCCTTTTAGATAAGACCTTAAGGTCTTTCCCAGAATCTGCTTCTAGACTAGTGGTTCCAAATTTCTGAGAGGTGGTATACATATATTGAGTCTAAACAGGGTGAGACTGCTGGAGTTGGAAGGGCAGCTGCACCAGTATCCTTAACTTCTCCATGCCTCAGTTCTCTAATCTTTAAATGGGATAGGTGACATTATGTACCTCAAAGTGTTGCTGTGAGGATTGACTTATGTGCTTACTATATTATAGTGCTTGCTACATAGTGATTAGCAAATATATATATATATGTATATATAAATCTGTATGTATATATACACACATCTATAGCTACAGATCTTCCTCAATTTACTATGGGGTTATGGCCTGATAACCCCATGGTAAGTTGAAAATATTCTAAATCGAAAATGCAATTAATACACCTACTGAACATCATAGCTTAGCCTCGCCTACCTTAAACGTGCTCAGACCACTTATATGAGCCTACAGTTGGGCAAAATCGTCTAACACAAAGCCTATTTTATAATAAAGGGTTGAACATCTCAGGTAACTTATTGACCACTGTACTGAAAATGAAAAATAGACTGGTTGTAAGTATATCCATTGTTTACCCTCATAACCTCCTGGCTGCCTGGGAGCTGCAATTTGCTGCTGCCTAGCATCATGAGAGCATCATAGAGCATAGCACTAGCCCAGGAAAGGGTCAAAATTAAAAATTCAAAGTAGAGTTTCTACTGAATGCATATCGCTTTCACGCCATTGCTAAGTGAAAGAATCCTAAACTGAACTATCGTAAGTTGGGGACCATCTGTATATATAGGGTGACATCTATATCGGCATATATCATATATTTATCAATGGATATCAGTCAGTCAGTCTCTTTCTTTCTCTAAACTCACACACACACTCTCTCTCTCTCCCTGAACTAACTCTAGTCAGGCTCCTCTAGGCCCCAGTCTTGGGCTCTGTCCTTCACCCATTTAGTCCAGTTTTAGGAAGAATTCCCCTAGGTCAGTTTATCAAGAACACCACCACCCGCCCCCATCCTTAACATCTCATCACTCTCGCCAGCCCTCAGCAAGAACCCTATTAAGTCCTTTTAGCCAGATTCTCCCTCTTACCCTTGATGGTTCTTTTTTAGTAACCGTATATCCAGTGACACCGCCCCCGTTCACTATAAATCCCCACTTGTTCTTGTATTTGGAATGGAGCCCAGTTATGAACAAAGGTCTCTCGCCCTATGGCAATAATTCCTGAATAAAGTTTGCCTTGAGAAGCTTTCGATTCTGTCCGGCTCTGGTATTTTTTGACAATATACTGAGGAAGGCTCAGATAACTTTGGGAATCCATACAACTACAGTCCTATTCCTAAGAGAAAACGCAAAAAAAAAAAAAAAAAAAAAAGCAAAACTGCACAAAACCTTAAGTGGTTTGTGGGGTCTACGAATCCCAGATCAAGTATCTTTAAGGAAAAGACGCTGGGATCTATTTGTGGCTGGACACATTCCCTGCCGCCATGGTCTCTGAGAAACGTAGTCCAGAGGCAGGATAGCCAGAACTTGGTCATCCCATCACCACCCCCGAACCCCCAAAGTACCTTCCCCGCCACCCATAAAGAGCTCGGACCCGGCCCCGGGCGGAGCCGAACGTCGACCCGCTCTAACGCAGAAACAATCGCCCGGAATTAAAACGCGCGAAGGCTCCGCGGACGAACCCGCTTATAAATTCCAGGGAGCGTGGGCTCCTCAGTTGGACAAGAAGAAGGCATCCGAGAGCGGCCCCGCCGCAGTGCCTTCTGGGAAATGTAGTCCAGAGCCGGAGGGCCGGTCGCCCGAAGAATGCTGGGAAGACAAACCCGGACCGTGATTGGGCCCCGGCCGCAGTTGGCTTTTGGGAGTGTAGTTCGGCGTGTCGCTCTGGTCAAGCTGGAGCCCGGTCTTCCATCTCCTCAACCTTGGCCTCGTCTGACCGCCCAGAACCGAATATTTCTCCGTGAGTTGTGCCTGTGGGCCATGACCTGTCCTGCGTACTTCTCCGGGTATGAGCTGTTGGGCAGCCTGTTTGTGACAGAGGGGAGGCTGTGGGTCTGTGACGTGAGAGGTTTGGCCCAAGACGGTGCCAGTGACTGAGGGTGGGGAGAGGCAGGTGAGTGGATACACCTGCCTCTGCGTGGGTGGCGGATGGGATTCTGCGACGTGGAGCGTGACCGTGCGAGGAGGGCTTTGAATGTGACGTGTCTTTGTGTGTGACCGCAGGTCTTAGAATGTGTGGCCTTGGTTATGTGTGAAAAGTTGGTGTGACTCTCAACCTTCCTTCAGTCTATCAGTGTGACCGGAGTTGTTCAGAAACTGTGTAGGTTTAAGAAAACATGAATGTGGGTTTCTGTTT